AGCAGCGGGGCCCTCCCTGAGGTCTGCACACCCACCTGCAGCTGCTGGGCTGTCAGTTGGGAGTGGCTGCTGCCTCTCACATGCAGGCATGCCCAGGTGCTGTGTGCTGCACTCTAGGGCGTGTGTGGGGTGGTGCCCGCACCCTTGCGAGTAGTCTTGCAGCTGGCTGTGCTTCCCCCTTCCCACCTGGGGGGCAAGACTCGTGTAGCCAGGTATGAGGCATGTAGAGGGGCTGGCTGCTGTGGCTGTGTGCCACACTCTCCTCTGCACATGGGTGCATGTGCCCAGACTGCAGCAGCATGTGCTGGCCTACCTGCCAGAGCGACAGTGGGCCCCCCGCCATCTGTGCACCCATGTCCCTTGCCCTGTGTGCATGTGTGTGCCAACGTACCTGAGGTTCCCTCCCAAGCCTCTTCGGAGGCCTGAGAGACATCCAGTCCGGCAGGGACTGGCTCCTGGGACAAGCTGACAGTGCCAATGTCCTGGTCATTGTGGTCATCCTCCTCCTTCTCCGTCAGCAGCTGGACCTGCCCCACCATCTCCTCCAGCTCAGGGACAGGCTCCAGGCACTGGAGGATGGGCTGCTCCAGCCCGGAGTCCACTACAATGGAGGGGGAAAAGGGTCCCCCCCACACAAGGGTATGGTCAAGCTCCTGGTAGTAGGGGCAAGTTTGGGGTCCTGCCCCTGCATGGCCCCCTCCACTCCCTGGCCTTCATGTATCCCTGACTGAGCTCCTTCATCTTAGCCCGGACTTGCTCCATGGTCTGGGCAGGGTGACCTCGCTCCACTAGGGATACGGCCATGCGGGAGTAGATTATGGCATTGTGGCACTTGGCCCTGGGATCATGCAGGGGGGAGTCCTCGCCCCACAATTAGAGGAGGGTTTTTATTTCTGGCATGCTCCAGGTGGGGGCATGCCTCTTGGTCCCCCTCGAGGGGTCTTGTGACCCCGTGGCTGGTTCGTGGAAGGACCTGGGGGTCTAGGGGAGCTTGCCATGAAGCCATTTGTGGCTGCAGCAGAGTGGCATGATGAACACTCCTGCTTCCTGCAAACTTGCAGCCACAAGGATTGTGCAGGGTGCCTGCAGCTTTAAAGGGTACCAGCAGACAAGGAACTTTAGAGTTCTGATTGAGATGGCCGGAATGGCCCAGTGGCCACCATTTTTTTTCTCCTGGAGGCCAATTGTTGTGCAAAAACCCCTTTGGAGCATCCACACTTGCCTTCTTGCACAATAGCTGTAGCACTAAAAGCAGTTATGCCTCAGAAAAGGAGGTTTACCTACTGCGGAAAAAGCCCTCTGTTCTGCCATTTAACTGCCCATTTAATTGCGCAAGAACTCATTTCAGGTGTGGATGCTCCTCAGGTTTTTGTGCAAAACCTATTAGTGTACACGTAGCCTGATAGAAGGGCTCTCTTTTAATCTTTGGGTGTCCAGCCATCAACTATTTCCACCTGGAGGCTGAAAGGGGTTTTCCTAGTGGGACAGCCTTTCACAATTGTCTAGGTCAGTGGTCCCCAACGTGGTGCTCGCGGGCGCCCACCAGGTGCCGCGGTGCCCACCGGGCCATTTCTGTGCACCTGCCGAGTGATTGGGGCCAGCCCCGCCCCTGGGTGCATGGCGCAAGGGCTGTGCCAGCGTATGGGCGTGCCGGCCCCTGGGCACGCAGCGTATGGGTGGCACCGGCCCCTGGGTATGCAGTGTATGGGCTGTGCCAGCCCCGGCACACGGTGCAGGAGTATCCCCGCTCCTGGGCACGTGGCACAGGAGCGGTGCCGGCCCCGGGAGTGCAGCGTATGGGTGGCCCTGCCCCCGGGTGCCCGGCACATGCGTGGCCCCACCCCCGGTTGCCCAGCAGCCCCAAAAGGTTGGGGACCACTGGTCTAGGCAAATACTGGGCACGGGGCTGCATGTTGCTTTTCCCTGCTGCATAAGTCCCATTGTCAAAGGCAAGATCCTGGACTAGGTAGCCCAATGGGCTGCTCTGGGACGATGTTTCTTGCATTACTGTATAATCCTCCATTCCGATGCAGCCATTTGATTTCATTTCCATTAGCCCAGTAATGAGGTGTAGCCCTGTACTTTTCAAACCATTTTACCCATTTTTTACTGAGATTAGTGCACTCACATGCAAAGTGCAAGTAAATACGTCCACTGCTAGGCAACGTGCCTTTTCTCTGAAAGGTTAGCATTCCCATCTGCGCCTGTTGGGGGGTAATAATGACGGCAATGGCACGGATCTAAGCCTTTTATCAATGAGCAGCATGGCAGGTCTATTTGTTTAAGCCCTCACTGACACCCACAGTCTCTCTAATTCAGTCTGACAGATCCAGGCCATGTTCCAGATCTCACAAAAGAGGCAGAGGCGGATATTGATCCTCCTGTTATTGTTGGTGATTTACTGCTTCATTCCTTAACAAATGTTAAAAGAAAACAGGGAGGTCACAGCTGCAGGCTGGCAAAGTGCAGAGCAGTATAGTGCCCCTCCCCTCCTTCTGCCCCACGATCCAGCTCTTACTTTATGATTCGATGGACATGCTCTTTGGGGCTTTGGAAACAAACATCAGAAGTACAGGAAGTGGTCATGATCCAAAAGGACATAAACAGGATTTGCATTCTGACTTTGAACAACCATCGCTTGAAACATGGTTCAAAAGAAACAGCTGATTTCATAAGGCTTTTGCAGAACAACCACTGGCATACTATTAACAAAGGCATTGCTATCGATGGGTAAAGCCCAAAGATTGACCCAACAGGTTTCTTTTCTCAGGCTAAATCTGCCACTGATGCACTTGAGACCTTGAGTCAAATCACTTAACCTGAGGCACTATGGGCCAGTGCAGTGTTTCTCAACCTTTTTTTATAAAGTACTCCCTTTAAAAAAAATTAAGTACCCCCAGCACCTACAGTTTTCAGACACACAGAAAATGTTTCTACCATTGCAACACATTTGTTTAAACAACTTATTCGTAGCCAGGTGGGCGATGAAATGTTTGGGTGTAAAAGGAACAAAAATAATAAAGTGCTGTAAAACTTAAAACGTCCATAGAAGCATGTTGAGGCTAGCAAACACTTTCCCTCCGTATTTGCATTTTTATAAAACACCTATTTTTCCTTCCAAAACTGTACTTTAATGGGAAAATTTTGACCAGCCCAAATGTGTAACAGCTTATAAAGCCAGGTAAAAAGTAGGTGGATATTTGCAAAGGTACTCAAAACACCCACAAATATTAGTTGTTTGTTGTTGTTGCTGTTCACACAGCTC